CGTGTCCGCAGGTCGCCCGCGCACACGAGTCGCGGTTTTTCTTCTCCGTTTCGGGATTTGATCGGCACCCCCCCCCCCCCCCCCGCGCGTAAGAGAGAGCCTTTCCCTTCAGGAATCTTAACTCCTTAAAAGAGGTTTCCCTTTATAAGGGGGTAAAAATCCCTTGAGTTTTTCGGTGTGGGATAAAACACACTAGAAACTCATCATTTTCCCAGTTTTTCCATTTCAACGAGCGAACTTCGAGAATCAATTTCTCATTCACCCGTTATCCGTTTTGAGCGTACCATATATCGAATTGTAGCCCTTAACAAGGACAATCCGAAACCACTTTGACCCGACCCAAATCGGAAGTGGACCCCACTCAAATAATTGCCCCAAAATGACCATTTAATGCAATTTTTAACACATTTTCCCAACAATCCCCCACATGAATGAAAATTGATTTTCGAGACTTAAAAAGACACGAAGATAGGAGGACACGTTGTGTTCACCGGATGATCCTTGCATACGGAGAGGTAGGTTTTATCCTTTGAACCTTCCGTTGTAGAGACACGTTTATTTACTGGCTGTCTAGTAGACTCGATGTCCTTGAACTATACTACCGTCGTGTAAACATTGACTTATCTTTACACAAGAACCTTCCAACTTTGTTCCGTTCTCATGGGTGTGCCCATTTTGGCCATGGGTCACCGTCCTGGTTGTGCAAGAGTTTCTAAAGAACTGAGCCTTTACAGTTCTCCTTTGAAGCGGCCCTCTTCTCTCTCACATAGGTGATTCTTTCACGAGTATCCCGCATAATCTTCCAATGTTATCGAGTAGATCAACATTTTAGAATCATTAAAGCAAACGTTTTTGCTAACCTCGTGCGGGAGTCACTGTTTTAACGAGGAGTGGGTAGGAGTCCGGGACCCCCACAGTGACCATCCTTCGCTCTATAATTTAGTTGTCCCTTTTGAACCTAGGACCAACTAGGTTGGGTATCCACTATAGAACTTTTCAATTCACGGGCTTTAGTCCCATTCCTCGTGACAACTTCTCCAACAATTCTCTATCCAATGGCTTGGTTAGCGGATCCGCTATGTTATCCTTTGACTTCACGTAGTCAACAGTGATAACACCCGTTGTGAGGAGTTGTTTAATGGTGTTATGTCTACGACGAACGTGTCTAGACTTACCGTTGTAGAGATTGCTCTGTGCCCTTCCAATTGCCGCTTGACAATCGCAATGTATGCATATTGGAGGGACAGGCTTCTCCCAACTTGGAATATCCTCGAGAAAATGGCGTAGCCATTCAGCCTCTTCAGTGCACTTATCCAAGGCTATTAGCTCAGATTCCATCGTGGATCTAGCTATTAACGTTTGTTTCGAGGATTTCCATGACACGGTTGCACCTCCCAAAGTGAAAACATATCCACTTGTGGACTTAGAGTCCTTTATGTCGGATATCCAACTAGCGTCGCTATACCCTTCAAGTACAGCTGGATATCTTCCATAGTGCAGTCCAAGGTTTTGGGTTTTACGTAAATACCTCAAAACCCGTATTATTGCCTTCCAGTGCTCATCACCGGGGTTGCTAGTATATCTACTTAGCTTACTAACCACAAAGGCAATATCAGGCCTGGTACAACTCATTAGATACATCAAACTTCCAATAATCCTAGCGTATTCTACTTGAGAAATACACTCTCCACGATTTTCGGTAAGATGAGTGTTTTTATCTAATGTCGTCCTTGCCTCTTGATAATCGTCCTTATTAAATTTAGTAAGGATTTTATCAACGTAATGGGATTGGCTTAGCGTTAGACCGTCAGGTCCTCTAATTATTTTAATCCCAAGGATTAAATCGGCCAGCCCCATATCCTTCATGTCAAATTTGGAATTTAACATGCTTTTGGTAGAATTAATCATTAGATTATTGCTACCCACGATGAGTATATCATCCACGTATAAACATAAAATGACATAGCCATCTACCGTGCTTTTCACATAGACGCATTTGTCACTTTCGTTTATCTTAAACCCATTAATTAACATTGCATGATCGAACTTTTCGTGCCACTGTTTAGGGGCTTGTTTCAATCCATACAATGATTTAATTAATTTACAAACCTTCTTTTCTTGGCTTGGAACACGAAAACCCTCGGGTTGTTCCATATAGATTTCTTCGTCTATATCGCCATTTAGAAAAGCGGTTTTTACGTCCATTTGATGAACTTCCAAATTCCGCAAAGCGGCAATCGCTAGTATCATCCTAATGGAATTTATTCTCGTCACGGGAGAATACGTGTCAAAGTAATCATGGCCCTCACGTTGCTTGTATCCTTTGATTACAAGTCTGGCCTTGTACTTATCGATGGAACCGTCCGATTTCATTTTCCGTTTAAAAATCCACTTGGATCCCAAAGGTTTATTTCCCGGAGGAAGATCAACCAATTCCCATGTGTGATTTTTAAGGATAGAATCCACCTCACTTTTGATGACTTCTTTCCACATAGGACCTTCAGTAGACGTCACGGCTTCCGTATAAGTCCGTGGCTCATTTTCTACCAAACATGTTAGAAAATCCGGTTCATTTTATACCATACATGTTAGAATATCCGGTTCAAATTCTACCAGGTAGGTGAGAAAATCCGGTCCGAAGGATTTTTCAATTGTAGCACGTTTGCTACGTCTGGGTTCGGGTTCTTCTCCGGATCCCTCGCTAGTATTTTCCATAGCTACGTCAAATGTTCGTTTTGACGTGCTAGGCCCTTCGTTGGACTTGCATGGAAATACATCTTCAAAGAATGAAGCATTCCTTGATTCAATTATTGTTTTTTTATGTACATCCGGATTATTCAAATCGTACACTAAAAACCGATAAGCACTACTATTTTGTGCATATCCAATAAAAATACAATCCACCGTTTTTGGACCTATTTTTATTTTCTTAGGTGTTGGTACAAGCACCTTAGCAAGACACCCCCACACTTTTAAATATTGATAGGAAGGCCGTCTGCCTTTCCACAACTCGTACGGAGTATTATCATATTTTTTCCGGGGAACCTTATTTAAAAGGTAATTGCTTGTCAAGATCGCTTCGCCCCACATATTTTGTGGCAAGCCCGAACTTACTAGCATCGCGTTCATCATATCTTTCAATGTGCGATTCTTTCGTTCGGAAACACCGTTTGATTGAGGTGAATAGGGTGCGGTACGTTCGTGTACTATACCCACACTAGCGCAAAAGTCACCAATTGGTGCTTCATACTCACCACCTCGATCACTCCTAACCGTCTTAATCCGTCGATTAAGTTGGTTTTCCACTTCATTCTTATAAAGAATGAATTTATCGATTGCTTCGTGTTTATTTTTTAATAAATAAACGTAGTTATAGCGAGTGCTATCATCGATAAAGGTAATAAAATATTTATTACCGCCACGTGTTTGTATTGATTTAAAATCACAAACGTCACTATGAATTAATTCAAGTGGTTCCGTTTTTCTTTCAACTGATTTGAAAGACGTTTTCGCTAGTTTTGCCTCTACACAAACTCCACATTTGTGCTTCACATCAATTGTGAATTTAGGAATGTGCTCCATGTTAATTAATCTACGTATAGAATTAAAATTAACATGTCCTAGTCTACCATGCGACACATTAGAAGACTCAAGCAAGTAAGCAGAAGGGATTTTATTATTATTATTAATAATAGTCGTTACATTGAGCTTAAACAACCCATCACATGCATACCCCTTGCCCACATACATTCCCGATTTAGACAAAACTAATTTGTCCGACTCAAAAACCATGCGGAAGCCATGCTTGTTCAACAACGAACCGGAAATCAGGTTTTTGCGTATTTCCGGAACAAACAGCACTTGTGCCGGTGGATAAAAAGCTGTGAATAACTCCCGGTTCGAGCAAATGTGCCGGGTTGCACCGGTGTCCACAAACCACTCCTTGGAATTGGATCCAACGAGGTTGACTTCTGTCCGAAGCCAACAGAATCCCCTTGGATCCAAGGTTTCGGGAAGAAACAAAAATTAACCGTATCTCTTGTGAGATAGATTTTTGGACGGCATTCGTGTCCGCAGGTCGCCCGCGCACACGAGTCGCGGTTTTTCTTCTCCGTTTCGGGATTTGATCTGCACCCCTCCCCCTGCGCGTAAGAGAGAGCCTTTCCCTTCAGGAATCTTAACTCCTTAAAAGAGGCTTCCCTTTATAAGGGGGTGAAAATCCCTTGAGTTTTTCAGTGTGGGATAAAACACACTAGAAACTCATCATTTTTCCCAGTTTTTCCATTTCAACGAGTGAACTTCGAGAATCAATTTCTCATTCACTCGTTATCCGTTTTGAGCGTACCATATATCAAATTGTAGCCCTTAACAAGGACAATCTGAAACCACTTTGACACGACCCAAATCGGAAGTGGACCCCACTCAAATAATTGCCCCAAAATGACCATTTAATGCAATTTTTAACACATTTTTCCAACAATCACTAAAAATATATTAAGAAAAATTTCTATCTATTAACCTTATTTGATCGATCGGCATATATACTCATCTCTATTATATTAGGTATCCTTTTGTTTAATCCTTGCAAATATATTCTATTTTGTTTACGTACCTCAAGGATTTAATTTCTCCATCAATTCAATGAGCATATATAACTGTCTATGTTTGCTGACAAAACAATTCTGACAAATAGATTTTCTCCCATTCTTTATAAATATCTGAACTTATTTTTAGAAGGTCGTTACAACCTATTTTAAAAATATGAATGATTAATTCTACATTGTTTTAACTTTTAATGAACTCTCAAATTAGTCTTAAAATAATTATAAAAAGGACAAATTTAAAAGTTATTATAGTATATATGATAATATGATAATACTAGCTCTTATAGTAGAGTAATTAATAAAGAAAACTCTCGTTTGAACTCTTTTATACAGCGATGCGGGCTAACCTGATAGTCCATTCTCCCTAGCTTTTAATCACATTCACACGCCCAAATTCTCTCAATCACTTGCCAATATAATAACATCTTCACGGTGATAATGGCTTCCCTTTCATCTTTAAGCAAATAAAATAAAGAAAGTTTAGAAAATTATCTCACAAATTAATTTAAACCCCTCTTTCTTCCCTTTTAATTTCTCTCTGAGCTTATCATAAGAAATCAACCCCGTTTAACTTGGATCTATGTCCGAGAACCATTTTTACCGAGACCACATGGGAGAAGGAACCATCAGATTCCCTTTGTTTGAGGTTGAAGATGATCGGAAGCCAGCTTCTCTTTTTTATCCAAACAGTAATAATAGCTTTTTTATCCACCAAGAATTCGATGATCCGTCTCCTTACATGGATTACAACTACAACAACACTTTCTCAAGTGATTTCCAGCTGTTTTGCCCGCCGCCTCCGTCTGAGGCGGCGGTCATCTGTCCTCCACCGTCATCAGACCGTCGTCAACCGCCAGCAGCGGCCGATGGGTGTTCGACTTCCAGTGAGCTAGGTGGAGGACGGGGCGGAGAAGAAGATTCATCAAAGACTACCCAAACCAAGAGTCCAGAGATCACCGAAGATTGTGAAGCTGGAGATCAACAAGAAAAGTCAAAGAAGAGAATGTAGGGTTTTCAAGTTTCTTTCTTTTTTGGAAATAAAATTTCTTAAATATATAGTTTTTGTCGTTCTAGCTAACTCCTAATAATTGTCTTCATATATTTCAAGGAGTGTTCAATTTGTGTTGAATATATGCTAGCATTAATTAACCATACTTTATTTTCTTCATTTCGCTAGGTTAATTAATCACTAAATCGATTCCATGTTAGTACTTGCTTAGTATGATTATTCCCAAGGTGGACTTTGGGGGTACTGGATATGACTAATTACATGAACCCTTCATCAAAGTTTTATCACTACAAGTGATTAATTTGCTATATTTTCACTCCTAACATACATTTTTCACCCGTGAACCATGAAAAACTCTCGGGAAAAAACACGTTTCCGGTTCGGAAACTTTTTTAAAACTCCTAAACAATTGTTATCTTATTAGAATATATGATATTTTCCATTTCACATTCCCAATATTCTCACCATTGCAACATAGTTTTTCACCCAAGCTACTAGTTGGCATATGATGGGTGAGAGTCTTTTCAACTATTTTGGGTAGGAAATTTTGCACTGAAACTAACATTCAATATGATGGACATTGCTCTTTGTCCAAGTTTTGAAGCCCACCTAGTTTAATTATTTGATATGATCAATGATACACGTGTCAAACATTGATATGATGATATACACAGAAACCCTAATTTTTGTCCCTATAATATATATGTAATATACGAAGTAGTGTTATATGTAGTGCCATATAGTGTATTGATGAAGTAGGTTGGTCTTTGCATGTTTTAGGAGCAAGGGAAAGAAAGAGGTGAAAAAGCTGAGGGAGCCTCGTTACGCCTTCTTGACTAAGAGTGAAATTGATAATCTTGAAGATGGATTTAGGTGGAGAAAATATGGTCAGAAGGCAGTCAAGAACAGCCCTTATCCCAGGTAAATTATGGTTTACATTAAGAGCCCGTTTGGTAGCACGAAAATCGGCTGTTTTGGTTGATTCTGCTGAAATTTATGAAGTTCTGGCTGAAGTGGCTGCATTGGCTGATTCTGCTGATACAAGAAAAAAATATTTTTAAAATATATTTTATTAATAAAATAAAGGAAAAATTATATGTAACAATAGCTAAAATGATCATCTACAGTAACTTCAGCCAATACAGTCAGAAAAGTAACTCCAACCTTACTTTTTCAGCTTATTCCACAATTCAGCGCGCGAAAGCAAATTTTACGTGTTTGGTAAAAAAGTTGGTTGATAAGCCGAAAATGAGGGTTGCCAAACAGCCTCTAAGTAATTCACTCTTGCTAGCTACGTACTTCCGATTTCAGCTCTCTTAATCAATCATCAATAATCTGGTTGCGACTTTTATGCACTAAAACTTGTGTGAAATCGTTTACTTTCCATAAAAACTTCCTAGAAGTAACGTTTTGGCACTTACAATCGATATAAACGTTCTCTTTTGCGGGACTTTCTAGTCTATTATAGTATTTGTTCAATGTTAAATGAATACATAATTGACTGTATGAGTTTGAGCATGTGATCTTTTTTTGGAAATGTGACAGTAATGTTATCGAACCACACGATGTTTGACATCTATATAGACGTTCTAGTAATATATAATGATTGTTTCTGAAATATTGATACATTTTCTTCACAACTAAATTTTCATTGTTTGAAAATTTTATGACTTTCCAGTATATATCACGTTTCTCATTACTTCCCATATATTGGGCGCATTCAGATTAGACAAACGTTTGGTATATTGCGTGTGTTCTCTAATACCGGTCTTGTTGTAGACCTAGACACATTGCTTTACATACTATACCAATTAATGACATGAATGGATGGATCTAATAATTATGTCATTTCAATAAAAACATGTTTATTTCTTTCATCAAATAAAGTATATATATTCTTTAATTTATCATGGCTAGCTAGCTTACTCTATAAACAACGGTGAAATCAGGAAGGGTTTGGAGTTGGCTTTGGCTCCTCCGATCCAAAATGCTTTTATGGTGTGTTTGTTAGTGTGTACTTTTTATAGTTTGTGAAAAACTAATACGTTTGATTACCAACTTCTGTCTCTCCAATTCAACACATTTCCTAAATGTAGTGAACTTTTTAATTTGCTCCGTCAAAGCATATAAAAGATGGAAAAAATGGTGAAGTTTATTGATGTGCATCACAATTGTGGAAAGGGGTGGAGACAGGTAGGGGCTCGAGAGGGCCTTGACCACTGCAAAAAAAAATTAAGCATATATTATGTATAAATATTTTGAATCTACAGAAAAAATATGTTAATATTCTAAATTTTGGCCCCTACAATTTAAAATTCTCAAAACTCAGACTCCTTAATCATAAATTTTTGGCTCCGCCACTGGTTGTGGAGGCGACTTATAGCACAATGTAACTATGTCATCATAAAAAATAGATTCTGCGAAATTGAGTGGGTAAATGTTGCTCAACTACGTGAACAATGTGCTTCTTGACTCAATGATTCACTCCATAAGAATACTCCTATAAATTAAGTGATAGGCTAGGTTTGTCTATATGAATATATACTCGATTAAAGCAATATTGTCCGTTTAATTAAATTTTGTAATACGGAGTATAATTCATTACTTATTTACATTGTTGATTGGTCAAAGTCACATTCTTCCTTCCTATATAAAGTAAACGTATTTCAAATGCTTTTTACCCAAGTACAATTTATATATACTTGATCAATGAAACTTTTATACGTATATATAGCCAAAATATGGTAACAAATACACTTCATCAATTAGTTTAATTTTTCACATTTTCGGGCCCGTGACGTCTTTTCTGATATGTTTTCTATCGGAAAATGTTATTTCTGAGGAAAAACATAATCAAAAGTGACATATACATTAGTTACATGACTAAATCTGAAAGAAAGTGAAGTTACCGATCCCTTAATTGTAAATAATTTTTAACAAAAAATATCACATATAGGAAATAAGTTATACTATCTCACGTTCTTACGTGTTAGTGGTATTATATACTACCTATGTGTGTATGTGTATTCATTGATGAAGAGATTTAAGAAGCTAGATGCATGAACCGATGAATATATGTCACACAAGATCATTACTTTACATTGTCCATTTTCCTTTTCTCCTAAAGTTTACTCTCTTTAAAGATGTATCACATTTGAGACTTGTGAAAATTCAGCAATTATGTTGTCATATACGAAGTACTCCGTAATAAAAAATTATACTGTCATGTTTTTATTCCACGTTGAAAAAACATTAAAATGTGGTGACGGTCGGTCTTGTTATACTACATAGTATAATAATAATAATAATGTCAATACGATCAAGAATAGCAAAAAAGTGCTAAATATTGTTAAAAGTAAAAAATAGAATATAAAAACACAACATTTAAGTATTGTGATCAAAGTTTTGGATGTTCTAGTGAATAGGGTGGCTCCAAGTGCCTCCAACACTGCCTACATCCCGAAATGAAGTTTATGGTTTAACCTACGTACACACATACAAAGTGTTTATGAAGATAAAGTTTTGTTTTGATTTTTCATATGTATTCTTACTTTATATCAAATCAAGCGATAAATGGACAAAAATAAGGATAAATTTGACTTTTTTATTAAAATTGGTTTTCTTTTATATAAATGACAACCTTTTGAGACATCTCTAAAAGAATAGTGAGATCAAAAAATTGGTTTGTTATTTCAGTTCTTTTGATGAGATCAAACAAATCCTATTTTGTGAACAAAACATGTTTTGGTAATCCTACCGAAAGCAATTCTTTATAAAAACGTACCTTTTAAAAACCTCCCTTTTAAAATTAGGTGACTAATTTTAACCTTTCTGAAGTTAAGGTTATTTTGTCTCCATCAATTACCCAGAAGTTAAGGAAAAGGTAATTGCAAGGTAAATAAATCATCACTAACAGCGCTTTATGTTGCGTAATTATTTACAGGAGCTACTACAAATGCACCAGTCAAAAATGTACCGTGAAAAAGCGTGTGGAAAGGTCATACCAAGACCCGACCACCGTCATCACAACCTACGAAGGACAGCACAACCACCACTACCCTTCCTCGCTCCGGGGAAGCACCGCCGCCTCCATGCTGTCGCCGCCCGCTTCGTTCTTGTCTTCGACAAACTCCGGGGCGGCGGCCGCGGCCGGAGAAAATTCGTTCGAGTACAGCCTCTTCCAGCCTACAACTGCTCCGAATTTCTCTCCTTATAATCAGCCAGAGGAGAGTATTAACGGAATGAATCAACTTCACCAACCGCCGTTTGAGTACAGTCTGTTTCAAGACATGCCGAGCATGACGGCGTCATTGGTGCACAAACAAGAAAATTAAATCATTCGTGAGGTTTTTTTTGCAAAATAATTAAATAAATTACCATTAGTCGTCTTGTATGTACGAGAATTGGATTCAATTAACGACTATATGTATGCGTACTTTAATATTTTACTGTATGATATAAGAGGCTAAGAGCACTTCTATTATTAATGCCCTAGCTAGTAATTAAGTATTGTGCATGGAGATAATTAATTAATTAGTACGTCTGAGTGCATTATGCATGCCTTTGACTTAATTAAGTAGTTTAACGACTATAAATGGTCTAAATTTCATCATCTAATCAATTGCGGAACAAGAATTTTATGTTGTTGGAGCAAAACGAATAGATCGAACATTATGTTATTAATTAATTAATTAATAATATGAACTCATTTTAGTCACACACTCAATAAAGTTAGACCAAATCAAGACAACAAATCAGACTCATAGACAATTGTAAAATACACAAAAAACGTACATTATTAAAAATCATACGAGTAAAATTCTAAACCAACTAATTAAAAATATCCTAAAATATGCGTAGTAGTAAATAGCATTATTAGTAATTTTGTGCCGAAATTGTCCTAAATAATAGTGAAAATCATGCACGTTCAATTCGAAGATAAGAGTCATCTATTTTCCCTATGCCAAAATAAAACAATATGGTTTCTTTAAAATTAATAATGGGACACTATTCCAATTATACCAATAAAGATTATATATAATTTATCATTAAAAAGTACGAACCAAGAAAAAAACTTATCACTGAATTGAGTTTGCTCTATATAGTGTGAAGTAATGAGAAAAGATCCTCCAACAGAAGCCTTCTCCAATAGGAGCCTTGAAAGGTATATTTATAATAAAATATGAGTTGTCAAAATACACAAGGATTCCTAATTAATAATGGGACACTATTCCAATTACACCAATAAAGATTATATATAGTTTATCATTAAAAAGTACGAACCAAGAAAAAAACTTATCACTGAATTGAGTTTGCTGTATATAGTGTGAAATAATGGGAAAAGATCCTCAAACAGAAGCTTTCTCCAATAGGAGCCTTGACAGGTATATTTATAATAAAATATGAGTTGTCAAAATACACAAGGATTCCTAAACTACATAAACTATTACACCTCCTCAAACTGTGCGGGAGATCCAACGCGCAGATTGTCCTTTAAAAATGAAAATGCTGACTAGATAGACTCTTAGTAAATATCACTTAACTGAAGATGAGTAAAAACATATATTTTACTACTAAATCATCATGCGCGACTTTCTCACGAACAAAATGATAATCAATCTGAATGTACTTGCTTTGAGCATGCTGGACAGGATTAGCCGTCAAAGAGGAGGTAGAAATATTATCACAGAAAAGTTGTACCTGAATTTGAACTGGAAAGCCGAGCTAAAAAAGGACGGATCTGATGTGTAACGTGTCCTGTACTGTATAAGCAGTGGCACGATATTCCGCCTCTGTAGATGAATTGGACATTGTAGGTTGCTTCTTGGACTTCCATGACACAAGGTTAGGACCCAAGAAAACCGCAAACTTGTAGTAGATCGAGAGCTACCTGGACAGCCTGTCCAATCGGTATCAAAATATGCCAAAATACACATAGGGCGTGCCGAGGTCTGTAGCCATAATCCATGATCAATAGTTCCCTATAAATAAAGGAAAATGCGTTTGACAGCAAACATGTGAGTAGTACGAGGAACATGCATAAATTGAGATACTAAATGAACTGCATAAGTAATATCAAGTCGTGTCAAAGATAAATACTGCAATGCACCTACCATACTGCGATACTCAGTAGCATCAGTCAGGAGCTCGCCATCAGTGAGAGAGAGTGTCGCTCGTGTAGCCACAAGTGTACGAACAGACTTGAGAGTGTGTAAATGAAAAATGAAGAAGAAGATTAGACACATATTTTTGTTGAGAAAGAAAAAGACTTTTATTATTTCGAACAGCTTGGACCCCAAAAAATAATGAAGATCCCCCAGATCTTTCATGGCAAAGTGAGACGCTATATGACGAATAAAGGAGGAGACCAGAGAGGGTGAATTACCTGTAATAATAGTCATCAACATACAACAACAAATAAATCAGAGACTGACCTACCCTGACGATAAATAAATAAAGAATTATCTGGCTTACTACATAAAAAATAATGAGTAAGAAGCTAAGAAAGCTACTAAAATGATAAAATCAAGCCCGCGGGGCCTGCTTAAGACATAAAATGGCTTTTCGCAGAAGACGCACGAGATAGAGCCAACACATAGTTTAGACCCAACCACATTTTTAGAGATATCAAATGGAACTAAATCCCAAGTATTATTGGTGATAAGTGCATTAAATTCATCTATCATAGCCTCACGCCAAATTAAATGCTAATGTGCCTCAGAAAAGCAAGTCGAATCTGTTGCGCTAACAAATGTGTTTAACGTAAAAATTGATTTTGGTTTAAAAATACCGGACTTAGCCCGGGTTTGCATATAATGAATATTAACCTGAGGGGCAGTCCGTGACTGACTGGGAGGTGATAACGGTGCTGCGGCAGACACCTCGGTGACAGACGGGCTAGATGGGACACTGACGAATGGACTGGATGACAGGATGGAGGGGAAAGGTGTTGGAAAATTGATGTAACATACCTCGAAAGTACAACAGCGAAAGTTTAAAAGTTTCCCAAACATATCTTCCCTGATTATGACAAAACAACGAATATGATAATAATAACATATCTGAGTTAGAACTTACAGATCTTCCAGCCTAGCGGTGATAATCCTTGACCTTAGGTATCCACGTGATTTCTCCTTTCCGAACGAACGGTTAGATCTCCCATAGAGAAAGGCTAGGAAATCTCTTCGCAATGAAATAAACTGGTAATACTGAATCGTCTCGGAATTATGAAGGAGGAGAATGTATTTATACTAGTTCTAAACTAGTTTCCCAATCACAATGAAAGTCTTGCTCATTAATGAGTTCTAGGTCCTACCAGGACCAATACTTCATTATTAATTAAATATAAGTAGATTAAATAAAATAAAATAATAATAACAACAACAATATAGAAGTGACGTGCAACAACTCTCTACTTATTATATATATTATTATTTATTTTATTTCCTTTTCTTTTAGATTCCGAATCATAAAGAAAAATAGCAACTTTATTTAATTAAAAACACATCTTAATTGAGTACAATAAATTCAATTTATTTCACTTAATTAATTCTATCAAATAGAACTCTCCTTCAACTTCATGAATTAAATATGTTTAATCTAATTAATATTTAATCCATTTTCAGTATTACTAATTAAACATTATTTAATCCAATTAATAATATTTAATTCCTTCCAACAATTCAATCAGAAGGCATAATCACTTGTTGTGTGACTCATAGGGCCTTATATATTAAGCACTAATCAAATTAAGGTGTTAGTAGAATCCCTAGACGATTTACCAGACACACTTAATATATAAGGACGTTTGCGAGGACTATTCAAACTCCCTGTAATATGGAGCTCATAGTGATACAGTCCTTTCATTCAACGAACATTCAACTAAGTCTAGAACATTATATTGTGTCTATTCTAATAACTTAGTTTCTGTCTCTCAATCTTTCTAGATGATCCATAACGATCATATTCAATATCCAAAACAAATATATCCTTGCATTGACCAATGACTTTATGATCCATTTAGATATGAGAAGTAGAATGGCTAACCTACTACTCCATGTGCTTCATGATGCACCCAACACATGTCGTATCTACCCTGATTGGAGTGCAAGCGTTGGTTATGGTCAAAGTACATCACTTCGCACATGTAGTACGTATTGACCTCAAGTCGGAGGACTATTACACTACTCTATACACCGATAATCTCATAGACACATGAATAGAACTTATCAAATGGTTTCTCGGTGGGTATGCCAATATTCTCTAAAATATCTATGTGACCATCATGAATTACAGGAACTCATAATTGTGAGATCAACTATACTTTCTAAAAGTATGATGCAGTCCACATACCAATCTTATCGCATATCATCAATATCTCATTCTTGATGATCATTGATTGGGGCTATTTTAGGACCACTTATGTTATATCATATAAGCTCCCACTTACTTATTGCCAACACAAGTCAAAGGGAACACAATTATGAATAAGATATTGACAATCGAAATACTTGATCATCATTGTGTAGTACCGTATATATCAAATCTATAAAACTGAATGTAATCAAGTACATATATCTCTAAAAAGTGATTGTCGCTATGACATATATACTAACAAAAGGGTGGTCGGACAGTGAGTGCAGGGATGGGGAACTGCAGCCGGTATGGACCGAAGACGGGGAAACAACAGCAGGTCGGGGCAGTGGACCTCGCCGTGTATGGGGAAGGTGGAGGGGAATGGTCTGAGCTGGGGAGGATGAGCGGAAGCCCGGGGTGAACCATTTGTTGGTGGCCGAAGGGTATTAGTCAAAGAAAAATCGGGTTGAGGGGAGGTTGTGGATGACTCAGGTGAGGTAGAACACAAAGATTGAAAAGGAAAATTATTTTTTAGAAACTTAAAATGGCGACGGATGTAGACCCTACCAGACTTAGGTTCAAGACATGACAACAATACCTTTTATAGCCGGATGCATAGCCAAGAAACACACAATGAATAGAAAGAGCCGAAAGTTTGTTGGAAAATGAGGCAGAAATATTTGGAAAACATGAGTAACCAAAAGCATGCATAAAAGAATACTCATGTGATTTTTGAAAAAGTTTTTCTTAAGGAGAAACACCACAGAGTAAAGGAGATGGTAAACGGTTATAATATATGCAACTGTAAAAATAGCATCGACCCAAAATTGACTAGGAATAGAGGCTTCAAGAAGCATAGTCCTACTAGTGAGTTCTAAGAGATGATGATGTTTACGTTCAGCCACCCCATTTTCTTGGGATGTGTCAAGACAGGATTTGTGAAAATAAATTCCATTAGTATAAAAAAATTGCTGCATATTAAAATTAAATAATTCACCCCCTCCATCACTGAAAAGCTTTAATTTTATTATTAAAATGATTTCAACTAAAGATTTAAATGATTGAAAATATTGAAACACTTAGTCTTTTTGCGCATAGAATAAAGCCAAGTAAAGTGCGAAAAAACATCGATAAAGCATATATAATACTTCAAGCCCAAATTTGATAAAATATGAGACTGCCAACATCTGAATGAATTAAATGCAAAGGCATAGAACAAGTATGACTAGCATCCGTAAAAGGTAATCGTTGAGATTTGTCTAAGCGGCAAGAAATACAATCATGAGAAAAACTAGAGCTACTACAAATAAAGGAGATTGATGAGAAGAGCTGACGTATATCTTTACTTTTTATCATATTATGGATATGAGACGTGTCTTAGAAGAAGGTCCATGGTTGTTTGAGAGGAATTTGTTGATTCTTAAAGAAATCAGACCAGAGGATATTCCTCTCAAGATTAGCCTAAATGAGGCTGAATTTTGGGTTAAGATTCATAATGTTGCTTATGGATTTATGAATCTAGGAACATCTAGGAGAGTTGGTAATTTATTGGAAAGTTTGTTAGTTTTGATGAAAGCCAATTTGATGAAAAATGAGAGGCTCATATGCATATTAGGATATGTATGGATATAAGGAAGCCCCTAAAAAAAGAACGACCCTGAAAAAGGGGGGAATTGACCATTGAGTGGATTTCAAATATGAAAAACTTCCAAATTTTTGTTTTATCTGTGGGATTATTGACCATTCTGATAAGTTTGTCCATTAGTGTACGAGGGAGATAACATTAGTTTGGATAAAGCTTATGGAGTTCATCTTAGAGTTGGGTGGGGGTGGGGGTGGTGGAAGACTAGTCCTACAGGAGGCAACAAATGGCTGGTAGAAGGGTCCTCAAGTACAATGTGGGAGGTCACCAGAAGAGTGATAGTCAGAGCATAAGAGGATAGAGTTGGAAGGAGGATACTACAGTAACAGGACTAGCTCCATCAAGGATGGAGACTCAGTGAGCATGCAGGAAATGTCGGGAGAAAAAACGCAGGAGGATCTGAGAGGAGAAAGAACAGGAGAAATTAGATGGAGAGAGTATGGTGCTCGACCAGCCAAAAAACAAGGAAGAGATGGAGAGATTTTTTTCTATTATTGTTTTGTTAGTTGTTAATTTTCTTGATTAGACTATTTTCATTTATGTTGCTTTGGTTGTTTGTTGTAAGACTTTTGCATTAAAATTGGGTGATGCAAGATCTACTTTCACGATCTCTGACTCATGTAAACCCATTATAGGATCAACGAGTTATGTTGCTTTTTTGAATGTGATTAACTCTAAATCTAGTTCGAGGGATGACGTTTGTTTGTGATCCTTATATCTTTTTAACCCTATCTGTAGGCCTGTCAATGGGTCGGGACTAGACCCGAACCCGGTTGTTTTTAATGGGTACGAGTCTATATTTTATTCCGTTTACCCGGACCCGGACCCGGACCCGTTAGTATTTTGAATAAACGGGTTGGGTATGGTACATATGATTCCGACCCGTTAAGGACCCGGATCCGTTTAAAATTTCTTATTTGTATACATAGACACTAATACATAAAGTGATTAGTTGTAACACTTTAAATAAAATAGAAACTAATATACATATATACATAATAATACATAAAGTTATTAGTTGTGATTCTTCAATAAAAATATACACATTAATATATAACTACTATATAAGTGATACTGATCGAGATAGTAAGATACCCTAAAACTAATGCCCATTTTGGCCGTAGATACATACTGATAAAGTGTGTATTGGGCTCGGTAGGAAAAACACAATATTTATTACTATTATAATATTATTATATCATTATCATATATAATACTACATATGATTTTGTACTCTTAGTAGTTCAAAAGACCTTTTTATGACTTAATTTCTAGTTTATTCTACGAGCTTTTTGTTCAAGAGAAAGAGACGCAGAGTGTGGAGCTAAATGTCTATAGAAGAACCGATACTTTAGATAAAAATACTAAGAGGCCGTTTGACAACACTGTTTTGCGGCTTATCAGCCAACTTATTTACCAAACACGTAACTTTTATTTTCGCGCGTTGAATTGTGTAATAAGCAGAAAAAGTAAGGTTAGAGTTACTTTTCTGGCTGTATTGACTGAAGTTACTGTAGATGATCATTTTAGCTATTTTTACATATATTTTTTTCTTTATTTCATTAATAAAATATATTTTGAAAATATTTTTTTCTTAAATCATCAGAATCAGTCAATACAACCACTTCGGCCAGAACTTCATAAAATTTCAGCAGGATCAGCCAAATCAGCCGATTTTCGTGCTACCAAACGGGCTCTAAGTTTCTATAAGACCTTGTTTTTTAGAAAAGTGAAGATATATTTTGCTTTTAAATTTGTACACTTTACTTTATATTTCACATACATGTCTTGTTATTTTCACGAAATTTATAATGACGTGTTTATCATACATGGCGGGCGGGTCTACCCGATCCGATTCCGAAACCCGTTGGGTCTAAGTCCGGATCCAAATTTTCAGACTTTACGAGTAAACGGGTCAGATCCGGGTTCATTATTAACTTAACGGGTCCGAGTCTGGAACACTATGTTTCGACATGGACCCGACCCGGGCCTACCTATCTGAATGCCATCGCATCAATTTAAGCCCTTCTTCCAAAAAAATGTCCAATCTTTATTTAAGCAGCTTCATTTTATCCACGAGCAGATTTGAAATTTAGAACGGCTAACCCGCTCATTCGTCCATCGCTCCCTTTTGCTTAGACAAAAGTACACCATCACTGTGAATTCCTTCTGGTAACACTCTTTTCTGCGCATTCTTGTCTCTCGCTTGGTTATGCACACAAATGTTTGTGACTAATTTATGTTTTCCCTCATCTTTTACCTTCTAGGTTTATCTCTGTATTCGGAATCAAGTTTAAGGCTTTCAAGATCCATATAAAACCTAGACAGAAGCCTTTATCTCGTGGTATGTGTGATATGTCCTTTTGTAACTTCTTTTTTGGGTATATTGTTTTAATTTTCCATCCCGAAAATGCATACAAGTACAAACCAATTCAATTTCTGCTTGTCATAATCCGAGAATTGTTGATATTTTGATCATAATGATGCAGCGATAGTAGTATTTACGAATTATCATCAATAAAGGGAGAATTATGGCCAAGAATGTCACCCAGAGGCCACTGATATTTCAAGATGAGAACCTGGATGTGTATTCCAAAAGTATAGTTTGGTCATTCCATCTCTACGTTGTCCATTGAGTATACATCTTATTTTGGGAAACTGAATTTCAATTTATAATTTTGTATTGAAGCTGTGACTGGTGAAATATCATTGAGTTCTAAACAATCAGTGGTCAAGAAAGGTGGTACTGGGCTAAAAGGCCGTGGTGCCCTTAATGACATTACAAACAAGTCATCTGCTCAACCAAAACCATCACAGAAGAAAAGCTTCTCACATAAGAAAAAACTTCTATTTAAGGATGATGAAGTTAACATTGCGGAAGAGGCATTTTTACATGACCACAAGAAGTGTATTAAGGCACAACAGTCTGAAAAGACACTTGATCTCCTGGACTTGGGTTTTCCCGAACGAGGTAATTTCCACATTCTACTCAATCTGTTTCTTATTCCATATTTCCATGATCTCTAAATCACTGTTAAAACAATTTCAAGTTTCTGTTATAAATCGTATCTGCATTTGATTTAGTTTTCTCTTTTAAATTATTGTATGTGATTTGATTCTTCTATTAACCTCAAACCATTTCAAATCATTTTTCTAAACGACATGTTCATAGCGGTGGTGTAAGTTTCTTCATAGTAGCTAGAACTATTTGCTTTTTATTTGAAAACCTTGGGTGTTTATGCATTTAACTATATGAGTTCCCTTTAAAGATTGGAATTTGGTGGATAGTGATGAAAGGTGTGATAGCCGTTGGCTAAATGTTGCATTATTTAAACATATATATAAGTTCCCCATAAAGATTGGATTTTGGTGGATAGTGAGGAAAGGTGTGACCTCATTGCATTCTTGTAAACATATATATACACCATGCTTGCCTGACCTCATTGCGTTATCATGTCTGGGAGAACATTTTCAACTTGAGTTAATACTCCTTCTGTCCATTATAAAATGTAATCCGGTTTACAACACCCTTTTCCCAGAGAAATGTTCTCTTTAGTCAATTAGAGTTTTTTTTTTCTGACTTGTCAAAAAAAGTCACATAAAAGTGTATTCTTTTCTCATAAGGTAAATTATGAGAGACTTACTATAATTGTTTGTTATTGGATACATTTATTTAAGCCAAACAATTAATTTTAAAATATAAGTAGGATTAATCATTTACAGTAGTTGTATGTTGTGGACTTGTGGGCACCAGTGGTTGAGACAGTAAGTGTCAGATGCTTGTCATGAGGTTTGCTTCCATTCTTTGGAAGTGCTTGTGTATTTGGGAAGGTAAAATGGCAATTTAAATGCATAAGTAATACGCTCTTTCCTGTTTTTATTTTTGGTGGCAAATGATCTTTCTCACGACCACTGATATCTGAACTACACACACTTAATATGGACAAAGGGCCTCAGGCCTCAGGGCTAAGCTTGAGATAGTTTGGTTTAAGCATTTTATAGGATCCTTTCCTTGATATCCAAATGATCAAGCAGTGAGTTAAAAAAACGTTAAATGTTCTCACTACTCAAAATGGCAGACATCTGCAACTATTCAGCGGTCAATGCTTCTCAATTTTCATGTTAAAGCAGTATTTGTTTTTATAATTGATCTCCATTTGGTGATCAAAGGGCCATTTCCTTATGCAAAGGTTACTTTAGGAGAAATCGTAAAATACTTCTGTTTTTTTATTGTTTCAGATCCATTGTATTCCATTGAAATATCAGACCTGAAACCAGATGATGTGAGTGTTCTTTGTTGTTCATCTACCAACCTACTGGATCTTTTAAATTTAGTGTTTCTGTCATATATTTATATTGATGTTATTATTCTTTTAGAGCAATATGTGTGTTGGTAATCGCCGCGGGTACCTCGAACTAGAGGAGCTGCCCATACCAGAGGACTCCATATGGTTTGAATCTTCTTTAACATGGAAGTCTCCTCCATCATCTCCCACAGGCTGTGACTCTCCAATTTCTATTGCATCGGAATTTGAGCAAGTTGAGTTTAAAATGAAAGAGGAAAGTGATTTCTCTATTTGATATGCATGTATGAATCAGTGTCAGATTTTTGCATGTCTATGATACTATGAACTGTATTATGATTTCTTTTCAACCTTCCCTTTCTTTTATGAGTTCCCGCCGTTTTTAAGCTGCTTTTTGACTTGCTTGTAGAATAATAGAATAAAAAAGCAAAATAATATAAACCACAAATTTATTACCCACAACTTTGACTAATAATATACCTATATACTGAAATATTAATAATATGAAAATGAAATGAAATTGTTCTTTGTTTTATATACTGTTCCGTATCATAACAATATAAAGTTTATAAATTTTGTAGAAATATATTCTGTAAAATGATTGATTTACAATTAAAAAGGGACGGAGGTAGTACTCTATATGAACCCCATTAAAACAATGAGTGAGCTGGACTAAGAACGCCAATCCATATCCCGTGTAGGCTCCCTAAGGAAAATATGTGTGCAATTATGTTTACTCAATTTCAAAAGATGTTAGATAACTTCCACCTCTAATATTGCCCAAAAAGTGCAATCATCCATCTTGAATTCTTGACCCAACAAATGGTGAAGGAATAATTTACATTCTCAAACATTTGAGTAAGGTGGTTTAGAGTTTGGTACGCATAAAAAGTCATCATATCAAAAATTCTCATATTGGGCGCGTTTGTTTTCCGGTGGTTCCACGCCAATCCGCTGGTAATAGCAGTGTTTCTAAGTTATAAAAAACAGCGGTTTGATGCCAACCGCCAATATCCAAACAAGCTCAATGGTTGGTTGGGGATTGAATCTGAAATCTCAATCCAAGTATAGGAAACATTACATTATGTGAACCAAACATCCCACTTGCGTTAGCATGGGATATAGCAGCGCCACTAGAAAAATGTTTTTTACTTGTCGTGGTACCAAAGGAAAAATAATTAAATAGTTTATAATAATAATAATAAATAATGTTATACAAGGAAACTAACTACCATAAAAAAAGGAAACAAACTACTCCAAGGTATAAAGTTATAAACCGTATAATTTAGGAAGGCCCGCCATACTGGGATTATTCTTACCATAAGTATCACACACATACTTAAGTACATTCAGTGTACGGGCAATATACACGCACGAATACATATAAGAAAATTTGGTCTATAATGAGATAAGATATCTAGGTAGGTGTTTTATGTTATAGTTATAAGGAATATGAGAGAAGAAATGTCCTCTAGGCTAGGTGTTGTCATGTTTTATGTTATCCTGACCATTTTGTTCCTCGTAATCAACGCAAAAAAGCATACACCTCCCATGAAATTCTTAAATGTCTTGAAATATGGGGCAGTTGCTGATGGAATAACAGACAATAAAAAGGTAATTCATTTTAATCTTTCACTCAAATACTAAAGCTTAGATCAAGAAATAACATTTTCGTCTTTTAATCACGATTAGCTAGTTTTCCCACTTTTTCTTTATATTTTGATTAGAAAAGACATTTCCAAGAGAAATTCTAATACTTAATTAGTATTTGCATCGTCATTGGAAATGTCTATGAACAAGTGTTTAATAGTTCAACAATTGCACCTTGGAACCAAGTTGGAGTCTCTTTTGACATATCTTACTAAATGTGAAAATATTAATGATTTAATTATATTAGAAAATGGAATACAAACTCCTATTGTTCATCATCTTTTGCAATCATCTCTTTCAATGAAACCAAAATGAATGAATGATTGGGTCTACACACAATGATTTAACAACTCTTCATTGATGAATTGTGACTCGTTTAATCATACACGTATAGAAATTAGACGTCATCTGATTTGTACGAGACCCATTATGTAGAATGAACTAATCAATATTTCAAACCATATAAAAAAGTTTACAAACTTATAACAATGTGTATATAGTGATTCAATTGTGTAAATAATTATTTGTGCTTAGGCATTTGTTAAAGCATGGCGTGATGCTTGCAACCACAACGGAAGGAGTAGAGTTTTAATCCCAAAGGGCAAGGGAGCGTACAAGTTGGGATCGGTAACATTTAATGGACCATGTAGGGCTCATGGAATGGCCCTTTTTATCAAAGGAACTATAAAGGCTCCAACAGATTGGCCTCATTTCAACATAGACACTTGGATTGCATTTAACTATGTGAATAAATTGGTTGTGAAGGGCGGTGGGTATTTGGATGGTCAAGGCCAATATGCGTGGTCCTTAAATGATTGCGCCTCCAAGCTCAAAAGATCTTTTTTCTTTTCTTAATAAAATGGATTTGACATTACATCCTATTTTTGAGTAATATTGGTCTTTGCACACTATTCTCAAAATCATTAATGTGCGCATCCAGAAGTCCAAAAATTATGAAGGAATGTGGTGTAAAGTCAAAGGAATTTATACACATTAATGATTTTGAAATCAAAGTTTAAAATCCAATATTGCTTAAAAAATGGTCAGAGTGCAAGGTCAAATTCTTCTTATTTAAGCCAATGAGAATGCACCATATATGTTACTCTAGTTGGTAAGCTACAAAGCATACTATAATGTCGTAGCTTTCACATAGATAAGTCAATGGTCAAAAGAATAGATCGATTTGTTGTGCAGATTATCTTTTCTCAAAAAATGAGGTTGACTTTATTAAGATGGGACAATCTTCTCAATCAATAAATCAGCATAACTTACCCTTATGGTCCATTTGGTTTGTGGTGAACTTAGGTTCTTATAGATTTACCTAGTTTGTTTTCTATTTTGTGATAAATACTTAGGGTATGTTTGGGAGTTTGAAAGGAAGGAAAATGGAAGGTTTTGAAGGTTAGTAATTGGAAGTGAAGGGAAAGGAAAGCGAAGGAAACCCTCCTTCTTGTTTGGGAGTAACAAATTTGAAAACATAGAGGTTATCGATGAGTTATAATAAAATTAATTTCACATATATGATGAATTCAAATAGTTGAATTTGTATTTATTTAAATTTGAGTTCAAGTTATCATTTAATTAGTTATCCTTCAAAATCCTCAAATTTGGGAGAACTTAAAAATTGAGCTTTTGAAGGGTTACAATAGCCCTCCAAAACCATCTACTCCATATTTTTAAACTTCCGAACATGATAGGGAGGAGCAAAAACCCTTGTTAACCTTCCCTTTTCCTCCAAAACTGAACTCTCAAACACACCCTTAGGGTGAAAGAATCAATGTTTAACACGTATAAACTCCGGAAAAACCTCCGCAACCTCCATTAATCCAGTTTTAGTAAACATAAAATTACATAATAACAATATATCAATGAAAATATACAGTCCATTGTATCTCAATGTTTTTTCAAATAATAACTTTTTCATTTCAAACTTTATTTTTTTCAGTTTCAAATTGACACTTGAAAAGATATGCAATGCCATTGTTTTGTTTTTTAAATGGGGTCTCCATAATTCGGTGGCCCTATAACTTACGGAGTATAACCTAAAGTCCTAAACAATATGATAATAGGCGCCCCAGTTTGTAGAGCCTCTAAATAAAAAAAAAAACTCTAAAGATTGTTCGAGGTTAAGTACTCTTTATAAGTAAATTTAACATGCTCACCTAGAAAACAAATTATTGGAAACAAATTATTACTACATTCTCTAGGTTAACCTGAAATTATCCAAACACCTCCTTTATATATACACTTGTATTTTCATATATATGTGTGTGTATTCACTTTTATTTTTTTTACTAAATCTAGATTCAATTGAATTAACAAAATTTACAAGTGGAATTTGTATTTTATGTCTCTGCCCAAGTGGATCAATAGTGAATGTGTTAGGATGTTCTTACTTGGATTAAAGTTTGTTGCTCTGGTCTGGTCTGATCTGATCTGGTTGGGTTTGGTAAATGTCTGATTTCTATGTATTTTATAACTATAAGAGTCTGGTCTGGTCTGATCTGGTATATTTAAGTGGAGTGAAGACAATCCAAGTTAAATCATCGTTAGTGTTCAATACATTTTGTTCATGGAAGACTAACAAGAACTTCTTTTCTTTGTGGTGGTGCTAGACATTGAGATTTAACTTTGTGAACAAGTCAAGAATAACTCATTTGAGATCAATAAACAGCAAGAACACCCACATCCACATTTTTGTTTCCCACAAAATAAAGATCTCTCAGGTAAGGCTAACAGCCCCATCAAACAGCCCCAACACAGACGGAATCAAGATCGGATCTTCCACCGGCATCCGCATCTCCCGGAGCATCATCCAGACCGGAGATGACTGCATTGCCATGGTCGCCGGCAGCAAAAACATCTGAGTATCTCAAGTCACATGTGGTCCCGGGCATGGCATTAGCATCGGCAGCATCGGAAAGAATGCCGGAGATGTTGTCTCCGACATCCACGTCACCAACTGCACCTTTGTAGGCACAGATAACGGCGCCCGGATCAAGACTTGGGCCCCATCCAAGACAAGTTTGGTTTCGAACGTATTGTTCGCCTACATTTTTATGAAGGATGTGAGGAATCCTATATTTATTGACCAACACTATTGTCCAAGTCGCCACTGCACCAATCTGGTAATTATTATACTACCTCCCTTCTAAATTGATTTGCAAAATCAATTTTTTTTGTCAAACATTTCATTTTTTCAATAAGAAGATTTAATTTTAATGACAAAAAAATGTTGACTTTGCAAATCAATTTAGAATAGAGAGAGTATTTATTTATATATCAATCAACATGTGTTTAATTGTATACTCCGTATATTATTGTGGAGTAGCATTTATATTAGGCCGGCATGACGTAAATCCATTTAGTCAACTCCATTTTTGGTCGATGATGTTGTGTGTGTATAATTGTATAAATTATTGTGTATATATACATATATAATTTCATAAATATAAATAACCTTTATACTTGAAAATTGACAACTAATCTCAGTTAGTTTGATGCAATGGAAGGACCACATCAATTTGTAAAGTCAAAACATGATAATTGTATAAACGGTCTCTTTTTAAACATATACGTAGTATGTTTAATAGAACTGATCAATAGTTGACACAAAAATGTGTATTAATTAAAAAAAGTGTACAAAAAAAGTGTACCTCATAACACATGATACACAAAATACACATATATTACTTTTGTCATTAAATGTGACACAATTGAGTTACAACCGCATATAGTTT